CCAGGCTGGCTGCTCCCCCTGTTTCTGTTTCTTGCCACCTTTGTTGCATGTCGTTGCACATCTTCCTCGTTTTCTGCTATTTCTATACCATTGTTATCTAATACAGGCATGAAGTACCCCATATATAATATAATATATTGCTATATAGCTGTAGCTTCATCATAACTGTACAGACCTGAGAGCTGTATTAATGTATTATCTATGTTGCTTCTCTGATCTTTGTCTTCTATTTATTATTAACTATTTTAATGAAGACCAATGGCAGGATCAGGTTAAATGCTGTCATATCTAGTGTCCCACTTCTCCCCCCACAGTCCAGCAGTGTCCTGATCCAGGAGAGGTGGTGAACGGAGCACGCTCGGTGCGCCCTGAGGCAGGTTTTGCAGTTGGAACGGTTGTCCGTTTCTCTTGTAACCAGGGTTATCAACTGGAAGGTCCCAGCCAAATCTCCTGCCATGGGCGAGACACTGGCACCCCAAAATGGAGTGACCGCAGCCCAAAATGTGTCTGTAAGTCTTGCACTCTGCTACCTTGGCTATCTGTTTATGATTTTAACTACCATAATTAACTGCCAATTCATGACTGTCCTCCTCTGTGTGCTCTGAGCAGTGAAATATGACCCGTGCCCAAACCCTGGTGTCCCTGACAATGGTTACCAAACCTTGTACAAGCATAGCTACCAGGCAGGAGAAACTCTGCGTTTCTTCTGTTACGAGGGCTATGAACTTATCGGTGAGGTCATTATCAGCTGCGTTCCCGGCCATCCCTCTCAGTGGAACAGCCCACCGCCCTTTTGCAAAGGTAAAGATTTTCATGGTCTCTTATATACACTGCTCTGGACCTTAGCATTTGTTGATTAAGTTATTATGCTCCAGACTAGAGATCAACATAAAGATATGGTGATGAGATGAAGGTGCATTTAGGACTTCCAGGTGTAATTTATAATCTTTTATTTCTCTTTCTCTTATCTTCATTTCACACAGTGGCATATGAGGAGCTTTTGGATGATCACAAATTAGAAGGTGGTTTCTTTTCTCTGCTCCTATTTGTGATGTGTTTAAAGTCAAACATGATATTTAAAGGACCAGTGTTTACAATTAAGCTGCATCCAGTGGTGAAGTTGCAGATTTCAACCCCTCTGAATGCAGCTCAGCCTCCAAAGTGTGTAGGAGAAACTATGATGGCCACAGAATACACAAATGGCCCTATCTAGAGCCAGTGTTTGGTTTGTCCATTCTGGGCTACTGTAGAAACATTGGCTCATTTTAGGTTAGAAAAACACAATGATTCTTATATTCAGGTGATTAAACACTAATGAAAACATACCTGTGAATATTATATTCAATTTCTGTCAATATGTCATCTGAAATGTTACACACTGGACCTTTAAAGCCACTACATGAAGAATTAGAATTCCTTACTTTGTCACCATCGTTATGAGTGACGCTGTGATAGACGCTGGTACAAAAATAAACATGTCTTTTTGTTTTTTGTACACTTTATACAACAACAGTCAACAGTCTTAGATAGATAGACAATCACAATATGTAAATGTGATGTAAGTGCTAATTGGTGTACTAAAAATGTAGAGTTTCTCCAGATTTAACAGCCTATTTCTGATGTGTTTGGCATGTTTGATTAATAACCAGAGAACGTTGTGAACAGAAACACTAAAATCTTTTTGTGATGACTTTTTGACTATTTCACAGTGTCCCAGTCCTTCGAGCCGTCCCATCAGATCCTGAGTGAGAACATTGCTTTGGCAATAATTCTGCCAATCATCCTGGTCATCCTCCTGATTGGAGGAATTTACATGTACTATACAAAGTAAGTACCAAAGTGAATCACACACACTCATCCATCTGTACAAGTGTAACACTCTTTGAACACTGCAGCCTTTATTCATGTTGTTGTACGTTGTTGTATTTTCTCTCTCACAGCATATGCAGACTAGAATGGAAGCCACTCTTCTGGAAGTCTCTCTCTCACACACACTCCTACAGTCCCATTACAGTGGAGTCCGATTTCAACAACCCTCTTTATGAGGCGGGGGTGAGTATACGGCTAATACTTTTATATTTTGTCAATTTCCGAGTCTTGATTTTTTTACTGATTGATTTCTTACTTTGACCACAGGACACACGGGAGTATGAAGTATCCATTTAAAGGAGAAAATGTCTTGGTGAGAGTAAAAACACCACAGAAGGATTACATTCTTTTGGGAAACAAATTTCCTTGGTATTATAAGGCCTCACTCCCCTTTTATGGTTATTTTTTAATTATCTTTCTGTTTTACCATCAGTGTATTTCTGGCTTATTAATTGTGGATCTGCTTTATTTTGATTTATTGCACTGATACGATGGTCTGCCAAATATGGGTCCTACTTCACGGTCCAACTTTCTGTATCATTAGGACTGGTGCCTTATGAAGGGTAAGAAATTGACAGCAAAGAGAAAAATAACAGTGTGGGAGGCATTAGAACAGGAGAGGGGGGAAGGGTGAAGGGATATGGATTTATTTATTACATAAAATGATTAAGAGGCCAAAACATTAGAGAACTTGGCAGTACTTTATTAGTAACTATTAAACATTACAATCATGAGCATACAGCACACACTGAATGTTTTTTTATTTAATTTTTTTTTTACAGTGGCTCATGTTATATTTTACAATGTGATACAGTAAAAGGGGGAAGAATACTTCAATTTCTATCATGAGAAAAAGTTTGATATCAACAGTCTTTTTCTCTCTTCCTCACTTGGTCTCTCTCTCTCTCTGTAATACACACACACACACACACACACACACACACACACACACAAATTGAATGTAAATATCTGACTTAATATTGATTGAGGTTGATATATATATATACTAAATTATATATATAAGCCTCATATATACACTTATACAAGGTGGTGGGAGGTTATATATTTTCATTATATATGTAATGAAAATTCAGTGCCAAAATATAATGTTAAATAATTTAATGTCCCTAAGTGTTTCATCTGTTGTTGCAATACTGTTTACAAAGACAGTGTTTATTTTATTCTTCGCTGTTTCTGGAGTGCACTGTCACCCAGTGTCACATGACATATACGAAAAGGTGAGGACATGAATGTCATTATGCTTAGAGCATGCACTGATTGTAAATTATATTGCTTCTGCTCAATCTTGCCATTATCATTATAGTTATTGACAGTTATCATCGTTATCAGATTTGATGTTGTATGCACTATGTTGATGAAAAATTACAAACTTGGCTGCTTGCTGTGATGCATTATGTATTTATTTACAACTGATTGTTTGAACGGTGAATGTAGTTTCATTCACTGTGCCAAATGAAGGATCTTGGAGACTGTTGCTTTGTAGACTTAATTCTTCTCTTATCATCAGTAGCATTTCTTTGCTTCATATATGAATACACTCTTTTGAAGGCAGTAAATTATTTGCTGAACTGGAAATAAAGTCTCTGTTGAATGGTGTAAAACTTGTAGAAATTAGCTTTTATTTGTCCAAATACACAAAACATATACTGTATTGATACGGAATAGCACAATGGGAAAGTAATGCCGACGTTTTGGAGATCATTTTGAGGTTTTATGGCTTTTTCGATAGCTAACAAAATACAGATTGACTGTAATATGATTTGCAAATTACTATTTAATTTTTTTAATTAGTGATGAGCCCTGATTTATATGTACTATTATTTACTTAATGGTAATTTCTATTCGTATTGATTGCTTTAGTTTATTTTGAAAGTATTTACCGCAAGTGTGAGCAAGTCATTAAAGAACAACATGACTTTTAAAATCCTTATTGATACTCTACTACTACTACTACTACTACTAACAATAATAATAATAACAACAATAATAATAATAACAATAATAATAGTAATAGAGATGTAATATCTCCACTGAATGTGGCGTTGTAGTCGGCACAGAGACAAAATATGACAATACAGCACAATAGGACAATGAACATGATTTTTGTAAATTGATCGCTTTAGTTTGGTCATTTTATTTTGAAGGTAATCACCGGAAGTATCAGCATGCTCCTGTGGTTTCATGGACGCTACCTTTACATCTTCTAGTTCGTTATCAATACAATTATTTTCGATACTGATGCTCCTCCTTATATTTGTAGTAATCACACTAATAAAAAGTGCATATATAAGTTACAAATAGTGATATTAGCACTGTCAACGCTGGTAATCCCACAGAAGAATGTGTAGTTGTAGTCTATAGTGACCAGTAGAGGATTTTTTCATGATCAATTATGTAAATTCCTTTGCTTTAGTTTGGCCACTTTATTTTGAAAGTATGTACCGGAAGTGGTAGCATGCTCTGATTATTGTATTGACGCTAGCTTGAGATAACTTTAATGGTGCGGTTCCTCAGAGAAGAGTAGACTGAAGATCTTACTGCTGTTATTTGCAATGAGTTGTACATATTAATATTAATAATAAAAATAATAATAAAAAGAAGAAAGGAGCCCATTTAGAGATTTAGATGTGTTGCAGTTCCTCAGTATGACCACTGGAGGGCAGTGCATACTAAATACACAGATTGTAAACACATAAACATAAACTCCACCGAGGATTAAATAAGATATTCCTTTATTTGTCCATAATCCAATGTTACAGCAGCAAAGTGGATGGAGAAAAAAAACCAGTATAAAAACAGTAAGAGTAGGAAATAATAAATAAAAACACTGTACAAGAGAAAGAATATTACAATATATAAACATTAACTATTATTATTGATGCCCAGATGGTATCTGTTTTAGTTCGACCTAACGTACATAAACTGCAATATTTGTATAACTATGTTGGTGTCACAGCATCATCTGATGGAAAACATGAGCCATGTTTAAAAACATAAACTAATCGTGTTATAGTACATTATGTAGTCCGTCACATACGTACCGTTGCTAAGTAACGCAAGGTGGCAGCACCGCACGTAGAAACGGTCCGTTAACAGACGTAGAAGAAGAAAGCAGCGGAAGAAGATGAGCTAGTTTCGTTTCCGAGTGACCTATTTAGCCTCTCCTGTTAGCATCAGTGAATAATCTTTATCTCCAACAATGGACTCGGTCGCTCTTATATCAGCAGTCTGCCGTTGTTGATGTCTAGTTTCTGACTGTTAACCTAAAGAAGCGACAGGAAACAAAAGGCGGTTTCCAGCTTAAAGCGAAGCTAAATAAACCAACGTTAGCTGTTGTTAGCCACTTGGATTAAAATGAGTTGTCAATCGTTAGCTGCGCTGTGAACTCAGTTGTTTCCTTTGGGCTGTTCACATTAGCCGACTAGCTGATTGTCGCTTACACCTTTAGCTGTCTTGGCTTAGCTTGGTTCACTCTTAAAGCTCCCTTGGATGTTCAGTGTGGTAAGTACAGTTTGATTAAGATAACTTTATTAGCCTGGTAAGTTAGCATCCATCATCTGAACAACTAGCTTTGTCCCAATCAGTGCTATCATGTATTTAACTAACGCTACCTTGTGTTTGTTGCTAACACTCAGCTAACTACAGTGTGCTGTGCTCTAACTCTGTACTGTAACTCCGCATCTGTTACAGCACATGTAGCTACTGCAGGAGGACTTACTAACATTAACATTAACATCAGGACATTAGGACATTAGGACATGAGGACATCAGGACATGAGGACATTAGGAACTAGGGCTGTGCTGAGACAATGCTTCCTGTCCCACTGAGATGATGTGTAGGAAAAGTTTGGTAGCCAGCTGATTCACTTTTTATTGTTAATATAATCTATAATCTCTTTTTCAGTTTGGAAATAAAAATCCTTATTATGGGTACGATCAAACTCTTGTGCTTGAAGAAAAAGGTTTTATTAAGGCGGTTCTTTGTGAAGTTGTTTAATAAAGACCACAAAAAGCTGCTCAAATTTTCCTCAAATGTTAAAACCGGAGTTTCCCCTCCATCTTTGTTTAGGATAAACAGAACCATAATAATAAAGGAGATGTTGTGGTCTCTCAGTTTCTTTCTCCAGCCTTGTTCTCGGTACAGATCTTTTGAGTTTTGGTGGCGGTTAAAACAGCTGATTCATGATTATGTAGCTATACAAGCTGGAACTGGGTAGAAGGAGTATGAACATACTGCGTGTATGTAGGAATGCCCCATGATTTAACTGCATTTATCCTATTTATAATTCACACAGTGGAGCACTCACTCCCCTTTCCCAGAGTACCTCGCTGCGGCTTCTAGCAGTTTAAATATTTCATGCTGGGTGTGTTACCATATCTGCTGCCTGTATTCCATAAATACAGATCATCATGTCTTCGTCTTTATAACAACAAGGGAGTTCTACAGACTCAGAAATAGCCTGCTTTAGTGGTAAAGGCCATTATTCGTGGTTTACCCACACGGTTGAGACAATCACGACTATCCACCGTTAATGAATAATCATTCATCATTTCCAAACCTGTACCATAAAGAACCCGTCCTGTTCTTCTGTATTACAGCCAGGAAGTGACTCCTCAGCCCCATGTCTGCTGAGGCCTCAGTTAGCAGTGGTGATGCTGCTGACTCTGCCCAGTCTGCTGTTTCCCAGCCTGCCTTCCACAACACAGATGAGCTCAGAAATCGGGGTCTGCTGGGGAGCAAGTATGTCAAATTAAATGTGGGTGGCTCGCTCCATTACACAACTGTCCAGACATTAAGCAAGGAAGACAGTCTGCTGCGGAGCATATGCAACGGAGGAACAGAGGTGACCATAGACTCTGAAGGTGAGTGGATGTGTCTGTCTGGTGAGCACAAACCTTTTTACTGGATCCACGTTGTTATTTACGGGAATATTAACATGTCACTTTGAGTATGGAGTATTTATATCAATTCTAACTGACTAAAATCTTCACTAAATATAATTGCATAACAAATGACTCAAAGCACATTTTCCTGCTGTCCCAGGTTGGGTAGTTTTAGATAGGTGTGGCCGACACTTTGGACTTGTTTTGAACTTCCTGCGAGATGGCTCAGTTCCACTTCCAGAGGACCACAAAGAACTGGATGAGGTTTTGAAGGAGGCCCAGTACTATCGGGTCCAGGGACTCGTCCAGCACTGCGTCAGTGCCATGCAGGTAATCATTTTTATTGAATTTGGGCATCTAAAAACATAAACCAATTCAGATGTAAAGCATACAGTTCTTATATAATACTAGCACATTAAACAAAGTAAAAAAATAAGTATTTTATAATTTCCTCATCCCTTCCAGTGTCTGTTTAATCAAAACATAGTCAGTTATTAGTTGTCTTTGTCAGTTATTATGTAAAAACACATCTGCTGGTTGCTTACTTTTCTCCATTTGATATCATAATACTTTTTAATATTTCCAGGTTTTAGCTATTGTTATTAAGTGATTATTTTTATGCACTTAGTCGATTCATTGATACTTACAAAAATGTGTTGGTTGCAGATGTTTTTTTTAATGTACTTTCTTTGTTTGCCTTCAGAAACAAAAGGATGTTTTTGAAACTGTGTGTCGCATCCCCATGATCACCTCAGCCAAAGAAGAACAGAAGATGATTGCTACTTGCAGAAAAGTAAATTACATTGCATCTCTTGTTCAATACTTTATTATTAGTTGTAGCTGTATTACAAAATCAAGTGCATTTTATCTAAATCAAAAGGACCACTGACAAAATTGTCAGTATTTGTCAGTACTTCATTGTTAGGTTAGCAGCTGTGAAATCCTAATTGTCCACTGTACTAGGGTACAGACTCTGTACAGAATTGGAAAAATAATAGATATCTTTAAAGAGATTTAGAATTGTAAACCATGAAAATTGTAGTTAGCCAGTTTTGTTTGAATTGTTGACTATGTATTATCAATTTCATTCACTCTTGGTGAAGATTTCTTTGTATGTACACACAGCTACCCAGGTTTATTCCTGTTTCTTGTCTCTACAGCCGGTAGTAAAATTGCAGAACAACAGAGGAAACAACAAATACTCGTACACCAGGTAAATGTTAACACTGACTTTATATGTGTCAGAGAGACAGTGTTTGATATTTGAAGAGCCACATGCTGCGACAGCAAACTCTCATGTGTCTCATGTGTTCACTTCACCTTCGCTTTTTGGATTCTGAGTGGAAAGAGTTTAATAATCTTCTCAGTTGATGATTCCTTCCTCTTTGTCTCTCCCTGTGACCAGCAACTCTGATGATAACCTGCTGAAGAACATCGAACTGTTTGACAAACTTGTGCTACGATTTAATGGCCGCGTCCTGTTTGTCAAAGATGTGCTTGGGGATGAGATCTGCTGTTGGTCTTTCTATGGTGAAGGCCGCAAGATTGCTGAAGTATGCTGCACGTCCATTGTCTATGCCACAGAGAAGAAGCAGACCAAAGTAAGCATGACATAACGTGCACACAGATTCCTTAAAGCAGTGGATTCCAGGAACTATGGCTATTCGCTTTCTGACTGTTAGTTGGACAACGGTTAGTTAGCTTAGCATAGCTTAGCACAAAGATAAAGCTAACTAGCCTGGCTCTGTCTGACAAAACCTACCACCAGCTCCTCTAAAGATCCCCAATCAACACTAATCTGGGACAAAGCAAAGGCTTGCTGCTTCCCCCTTTTTTCAGTCATTATGCTAAGCTAAGCTAACCAGCTGTTGGCTGGAACTGTATTATATAAATTATAGCACACAAAAAGGGTTAGAAAATGTCTTCCGATCTCCTTTTTTTACTGTTATGATATTCACATTACCTTTAATTAGAAACAGAGCACATGTAAGTCATAGCTGTACTTAAAGAACCTCACTCTCTCGTTCCAAGCTTGTAGGAGAAACTATGGTTGCCATGATAACGTAAACAACTCTGTCTAGGGCCAGTGTTTGGTTTTGAGCTATAAAAGAAACATGGCGGACTCCGTAGAAGACTAAAACGACATACATACCTATGAATATTATATTCAATTTCTGCCAAAAGATCCTCCTTAATGTTGCACACTGGACATACATTTGATAGTCAACTCTTTCTATTGCAACAGATTCTTGTGGTCAGAGCAAGAAAATACACTTAAAGGTCCAGAGTGTAACATTTTGTGCCTCCACTGTAGTTTCTCCTACACCCTTAGAACGGGAGAGAGAGGCGAGGGCTGTGTAATCTGCACACTGGTCCTTTAAATTACATGCTAGTATTTTTTTCAACCAGCATTTCTGCTTTAACAGTTAGTAGAACAAAATCTTAACTAAACTATATTGTCCACAGCAGGTACATCGTGAGCGACTCACCACTAAACTTGAATATCTGTGTCATTAGGTTGAGTTTCCTGAGGCACGAATCTTTGAAGAAACCCTAAATATCCTCATTTATGAAAACGGCAGAGGATCTGGTCCAGGAGGCTTACACCTTTTAGATTCAAGAGGCTCAGGGTCATCACTAGGAGCTGGCCAATCGGAGGAAGAGGGTGCTGTGGGAGGCGACAGACGAGTAAGACGGATCCACGTGAGGAGGCATATAATGCATGATGAAAGAGGGCACGGTCAGCAAACTGTGTATAAGGACTAATAATGTGAAAACACAAGACATGGGAGAGTGACTTAATGTATGTTGATTTTCTGTTGGATGCTAGCGGAATGAAAGATACCCTTGATCTTAGCAATAGCTAGGTAGTTAGTCATTTCAGTAAATGTCTTTAGACAGAAATGTAAGGGTTGATGACTGAAGTAAGAGTTGTTTGGACATGAAAAATGTTTACAAGAAAACAAATTGTGTACATCATTTAAATAGGAAATATGCAAATTACCTGGGACATGAAACTGGTGTACTTTGCAAATGTTAAGGCACCTCCTGCAAGTTACTGAATGGGCCTCGAAACCCAACTCCAACTCCACATGTGGATTTAATTCCTAGAGCAGGCAGTCACCTTTTAATGTGGGTGTTATGGTGATATGCACTGGCACCCTCCTCTGTGTTTTGACTTGTAGGAAACACTGTGTCAGGCTGTTTGTCCAGGTTGTGAAACATCTGTTGCCTTTTCATATGTTGGACTGATATTTGCTGCCTGACAGTAATGAACAGAGGATGGTCAAGTTTAGCTTAGATATGTTAACACTGGAATAAACCTGAGTAGCCATTTTTAGTGAGGTTGTCAATGAATGAGATTGTTGAGCAGCTCCATTTTCTTTATTTAAATTATTACTGCTGTTGCTTCAAGATGTTTTTTATTAATTAATTTATGAACCTAATTTATTGTTTGGTATTTAACGTATTGTACGCAATCTTTGTGTTAACTAGTGCTCAAGTGAGTTTTAATTTTTGGAATGATATGATGCACTCTATAGCACACGTCAGATTTTGAATTTACTCCTGTAAGTGACTAAATAGTGAACTTACATTTCAGTTTAATGTTTCAAGAGGAACCGTGACCATTTCTTTCATTGTGTACTTTATTCTGAGCCATGATTTTTCACTTTCGCTTTATATCTTATACCAAACCACTGAAATTTGCTCAAAGTAATTGGCCGTACGCTGACGATAAAGGTAAATAATACTGGGTTGTATTTGTATTTCCCTCAGGGAGAGGATAAGTATTTTCTTTCTAATATTCACCGGTGTCTTGTGTAAATTTAATCACTCTGAATACTGAAAAAACATTGAATGAGAGCAATATGTATCTCAGACCCTTTATAAAATCACCTTGGAATACTTTAAAATATGCACTAATATAACTTCCGTCCAACAGTGGTCATGGGAATGTTCTGAATAAATTACTTATGAAATCCAACTCAAGCTTTTTGGTCTCATTTTTTCCTTCTTTCCTAAGTATAATTAAAAAAAATTGACTCCAATGCATACATACAGAAACAAATAGAAGTTACCCACAGGATATTTATTACTGTGCTTACTTGATATACTCAAACATTTCATTTATTCATCCTTGTGGTTCAGAACTCCACAACTTCATCTGGTTTTGAAGTGGGCCCCCTTCAACTGTGTTAAGTCGACTGACCCACAACGATTCAGAGGGGCTCGACAGTAGTCCTGGAATCACCCCCTTGGGCCCTCAGGTCTACTTGCCACTGCCCTCCCTCTCCTCTGCCAGTCTGGTTGTGCCATTGTTCAGTTCTTCCAGCCATCTGGATGCTGTCTCCGCCCACCTGGTGATATCCACAACCAATATCTTGTGGGTGGTTCCTTTGACCTCAAAGATTCCCAAGTGCTCCAAGCTTAGGCTCATGTACCTCCTCAGTCCTTTCCTCCGAGGGTACTGTCAGCTCCAGGAAGGACATCAGTTGTAGTTCCTGACCAGAGTATAATGTCAACTTGAGTTTCCTTCCAAAGTCAACCCTTATTTTGCAGTCATTTGCCGTAGTAATGCAGAAGGAGATCTGGGCAGCAGAGGAAGGCAGGGTGGTGGCTATGAGGCAGCAGGGCAGTTGGGTGGTGCAGTGTTCAAGGAAGATCTCTGGGATGGAGGGACATCAAGAATATGGAGGGGCACTGGATCAAGTTTCTGCTCTGTTCCATCTATAATGTGCAAAGGTGGAGACTAAGTGAGAGTCCTGTTATTTGCTGTGTGGGACACCAGACAACCAGGAACACATCCTGTCATAATGTCCATTTCATCATTGCTAAAGTATTTAACAGTGTAAAAGAAAGGTACAACCAAATCTTATGAAAGGAAACATGAAGGACAACAAAGGAGAAAAAACAATACAGGCAGATTCCATTTTAAACTTTTTCTAAATATTTAGATAAATGTAGTTGTGTAAGTCCATGACATATGTTAAATTAAAGAAGAAAGAGATAAATCAGTACGATTAATTCAGTTTAAGGGGACTGTACTAAAAGTACAAGATCAGAGGATTAAGATTTTATATTGTGAAGGGGCGTGGCGCGGGCGTGACGTCACATCCGCGTACGTCCGGGGCGCCAAAAAAAAAAAGAAACCACCGCAGTTTGAAATGATGGCGTCCGAGAAAGACACGACCAGTCTCCGCTGGTTTGTCTGTGGTCAACTCCGAGATGAGCCAGACCTCAGGTACTGCTGTTTGTTAACGTCACTGTTTATTGTGTGTTTATATTTACTGTCAGTGGTTCACAGGTAACTAAGTTCTAACGTTAACATACAGGCAGATAACAGTGAAAGCCTCCAGCTTACCTCTCTAAACACTGCTTTCCAATGGCCATTGAACCACTCAGACCAGCTGCATTCACTGTAACGGGAATGTGCCACTTACCACTGAAGATACACACAGGTTAATGTTATGGTCGGTCCCAACATGAAGCTGTCAGCCTTTAGATAGGCCAACTTTGTAAGGCTTACATTTAAGGCTTGCTTAGCTTTGTTAAAAGTTGAGTTAACATAAGATAAGATGTTCCTTTATTGATCCCCTTTTTGAGAAATTCAAAGTGAAGTATTCGTGTGAGTGACAGTTGCCAAGCAGTGGTATTTGCCATCATAGTAGTGTATGAAGTTGTATGTTTCAGTGGAACAAGTGTATGGTTTCCCAGTGTGGGTACATTTTATGCTTAAAGTGTATCTAGTAATGTGCAAGCCTCTCGTTTGTGGAAGTAGAAAAAGGTTTTATTGACTGTAGAGAACTTATAAACTCCCAGTTTCCTGCACAAATTAAAGTTTTGTTTTGCCATTTTGTTTTTACGGTCTTCATCTTTTTAAAAATCATCTCAAATATCGGTTTCACATGTATTTCTCATTCTGTATTCAACAACACAAAGTTAATTATGTCCATTACTATAAATAACCCCTCCCTCACACACCTTGACGTAATCTTTCTAATGTCTTATTCCAGCACACTGACCTTGAGGATTTTGAAAAAGCGATATCTGGCCCATGTGCGATGTGAATCATTAAGTAGAGGTCAGAGACATTTCATGAAACAGGTGGTTCAAGAGGAGCTGATGAAAATGCAGGTACCTGAATAATCACTATACCGTTTTTCTTTTTTTAGGAGCGTAACTTTTATTGCTGTAGTCATCAACATTTTTTCCTGCTAGGATAATGACAAGATTAAAAGTGAGTTGGAGACCAAAAAGCTCCAAAACAAAAGGAAGAGAGTAAAAGAGAATGACGAGGTGATAAGTGGGGCAGAAGATGAAGTTAAATCCACGGCAAAGAAATCTCGTCAGTCAAGATCATCATCAGGTAAGTTATAACTGTATGCAGTGCATCTAGATGACTGTGATTTTAATAATGGATAGCATGTTCTAGTTAGAAGTTACTTAATGTAAAATATCTTGGACCATCATTAACAACAGGACTTTAAGCAAGAATTATTTTCAGATTGATTAAATTGTTTTGTCTGAAATAAATGTCCCTTAGTGCTTGGTGATGATATCAGAGGTCTTATTTTGTCTGACTAATTGTCCAGAACCCACGTACTTTCAGTTTACAGTGATATAAAATAGAGAAATGATTCTCATATATGAGAAGAAAATAGTTAATTCATTTTATGGTCAAAGGTTCAGGAGGATCTGCTGGAAGAAATGGAATATAATATTCATAGTTGAAAGAGCTGATTTATCTACACAGGAGCAGGTCCTCTTCTAAGTAGTCCGCCACGTTGAACCGCCATGTTTCTACAGTAGCCCAGAATGAATAAACTAGACACGGGCTGTAGACAGGGCCTTTGGTGAGCTTCGTGGCCACAATAGTTTCTCTTACACGCGTCACACCCTGTTCTCATTCCCAGATCGTCAAATACCAACAGGAGCAGTGTTTCAATCTGCAACTTCACAGCTGGATGCCACTAAATCCTACACACTGGTCCTTTAAAGTCCTCGTTCAAGCAGAATTGTTTATTGTAGGTTAAGATGATCACTACTATATATGTGACATATTTCACGGAAGACAATACTAATAGTCATTTGACCACAGCTATGGTCCAGGCAGGTCAGCTGCTGCACTCAAGACCATACTTTGGTTGGCATACCACTCACTGAAGGCAGTTGCCACTTCAGATGATCTCACTCAGTCAGTACTTACGTTACCTACCTGACCATGTCTGTGTGAGGTTTGTTCATTAAGTTTGGTTGCTCTGCTGTAACCCATGAAATGTTGTCTTTTCTTTGCGTGGTTAATGACAGAATCTGAAGATAAAGAGGACTGCAAAACAGGAAGTGGGGAGAGTAAGGAGGAAGAGCAAATTCAGTCTGAATCTGAGGATGAAGAGCAAGCAGTGCAAAAATCAAATGGAAACGGTAAACGGCAGATAAACAGTGAAGACTCTGAAGATGAGGAAAAGTCTGAAAAAGAAGAGAATGAGCGTGACTGTGATGACAGTCCAAAAGAAATGGTGAAGAAGAGAGAAAGTAATACAAAGAACGGAAAGACAGGAAGTGGTGATGCAAGTGAAGGAAAGAAAACACCACAGAGCGATAAAGAGAATGAAACTGACACAGATGGCAAAGCAGAAAGGAGCGACAAAATCAATGCTACTGACTCCTCAGACAACAGACAAGGTGCCTATGCAAACTTTATACTACACTGTATATCCCACACATGAAGGCCTATTGTTTATATTTTCACTGTTTTTTTTTTTTTTATATGACTTGATATGACTTTCTGGTTTATTATGCAGAAAAAAAAGTCTTGGGAGAAAAGAAAAATAACGACCCAGACTCTGATTCATCATCACTTCCCTCTGTGGAGGATGAACATCATAGTGAGACGGAAAATACACAAGATAAAAAGAAGAAGAAAACCGTGAAAAAAGAGGAGCGCAGCAAAAGTCAAAAGGTGAGTCCATTAGTGATGTTATGAATCAAAGTCAGTCCGAATCAAGAATCAAGGTTGTAAAGAATTTAAGTCTTAAAAATCTTTATTTTAAATTAAATTAAATGGTCAAATTTTACACAGTAAAAAAAAAAAAGAATAACTGAAATATTTTCTGTCTGCAAGTGCCCAATTCTTTATCCTAGTAAATTCAAATGTACACAGAAGTAGACTAGAGATGTAGAATAAATGCCACAACCTCTTCAGTCCTCTGATTTCTCCTGCAGGATGACAACAGAGCCATTTTGAGGCTCAAACGCTACATCGCTCTCTGTGGTGTGAAGAAGAACTACAAGAAGCTCCTCGATGGCTGTCGCTCTGTGCGCTCCAAGGTGGCTGTTCTGAAGAAGGAGCTGGAAGATATTGGTGTCCAAGGTCAGTGGGAATACAGTCCTCTTTTAACAGGACATACATTCTGGGGGGCTGAAAACTGCAAATTCCTTTTTTATATTTGCCTTTAAGTAATAATGTGTGTATGTGTTTTTTAAACAGGCAATCCATCTATTGAGAAATGCAAAAAAGTCAAAATGAAGAGAGAGGAAGATGAGGAACTAGTTGATATGGATGTCAGCAACATTATTGTCACACAAGGTAACTGTTTTTCTCTCTTCTTGGGTGTTTACATCCATTACTATATGCTTTATATACTATACTATATGCTTATTATTATGTAGTTTAAAGTAGCCAAACGGAGTTGTTCACTTGTTCATAAAAAACGCTTTAAATACTGTAATTTTTTTAATCCACATGAATCTGTACCAACCCAAAATACTAATGGATGCAAATGCAAAAAAAAATTGAAAACAAAATTTATTTCTTGTGCATATCTCTTATCAATACTTGATTTTCATTGTAGTGTAGGGTTTGGGCAATATGTTAAAATTTTCCAACCAGCCACAATCAGTCAAGCGACTGATTGCTGATACAATATCTCGCTCTACAGCTGTCTTTCTTCTCACTTGTTTTCGGCTCAATATGTATACTGCACTGCTGAGCAGCAGCTCTCATTCTTTGGAGGTAGACCTTTAAATTTATCAAATAAATAAATAAATAAAACAGTCAAAGTGATGGAGTCAGCAGATAGCAGATATATTTGTCCAATCACCCAACCCTATTACAGTGTTAACAGAAAAGACCAATTGAATTTTAATATGAATTCTTGAAAAGCAAACCGATATAATTGCATTGGGCTTGGAAATTCTAAGTTATTATGTTAATGTAATGCATATGCACAGGTCATGTAAGCACAGTTAGTGCTGTAAAAATGGCTTTTACATGCACCTCACTGATACCTTAAGATGTCATATCTGGGTTGGGTCAAGAAGTGCACCTATAGTAAATCACGAGTATTGTTTATCATTTTTATAGCACACACAAAATATGAATATGTTGGGGTACCTCTCTCAGGTCGACCTAAGCGCAGGGCCTCAGCCTGGCAGGAACAACAGGACGCTCCATCCTCTCCATATCTGCGCACTCTGAACTCTGACTCTGATAGTGATCAGGAACACGACACACCGAGAGGGCGCAGAAGAACAACAGACTGGGCCAACCTGCAGGGGATCATTAGTGACGATGCAGACAGCGACTGACCGGGAAATAAATTACTTTGATTGTGAGGATTCTGATACAAAAAAAATCAGTGGAGAGTTGATAAATGATTGTTTCATGTACATCTAGTATGTTGTATTTCAAATAAAAGTATTTTTCCCGGTGTATAAAAACATGTGCTGATTCACTGTTTATTATAGCTGAATGAAATAAATGTATATAAAAGTATTCGCCTGAAATATTTTCTCTGTTCCCATGGAAACGTGTTGACTGCGTCACATTTCCGGAACTAAGGTTAGTAAACTCAGAGATATACGGAATATCTCGCCGACGGACTGGTCCTACGCGGTAAAGTGTCCTCCTGCATCCCTACAGGTCAAGAGATAGTTGGTGTTATTTGTTAATTCTGAATACTCGTACAGTTGTTGTGTGTTTGTGTGCGGCAGCAATGTGCTACACCGACGAACAGACTCTTGCTAATGAACATGTCAGTGTTTGTTCTCAGTCAGACGACGGCTGGATACCAAATAGCTGCATGCATGTGACCCTCAACTCGACTGTCACTGAGGTATCTCAATAACAGATTATAATAGAAAAACTATTTCAATATCTATGCTGGATCGAAAGAGCTTAAAGTCCAGGTTAATGTTTTGCTTAAACTCTTACAAATTGTTATATTATTAAATCTCTGATTCTGAGCACCAAGTGTTACTGCTACTGTCCATCAGAAGTTGCACTAAATAACCTAACTTTCTTATCTAAATTAAGTTGAAAACACACTGCATCCAGTATATTCTCTCAAATCTGGTTTACTTAGAGCCTATACCACACACTTTATACAGGTTTTATACAGGAATGGATGATGAAGCACCAGACGAGGCCTCTGAGGAGCTCAGGACCAGGCACATCGGAGGGTGGGGTGTTGCTCAGATAGCTGCTGGCACTGGGCTTGCTGTATACGCTATGTGGGTGGGAATCCTCCAACCTGGCTTCCGAAGAGTCCCCTTGAAGCTGCAGGTATAGTTTAAAGCTTTATAACATTTTGAATTGATGTGACTCTTAAACTCTAAAGTGATCTGAGAAACACTTTTTATTGGAAGCTCTTTACATTTTCTTCCAGGTCCCTTACACTCCTGCCAGCAAAGCTCAAGTAGGCAATGTAATGACGTTGCTGAGAGGTCGAAAGGGGGGCCTTGTGGACTTGGGATCGGGTGATGGTCGTATTGTAAGTATAATCAAGGTATTTGGGTTCTATTTTTCTTGCACTTGTGAGCAATTGATTTTAACTCGGATAGTTTTTAACCCTTAAGGTCTTGGAAGCCCATCTGCAGAGTTTCGCTCCTTCTGTTGGTTATGAGCTCAACCCCTGGCTTGTTCGCCTGGCCCGCTTTCATGCGTGGAGAGCAGGTCATCATGAAAAAGTGTCGTACCGAAGGGAAGATCTCTGGAAGGTTTGTCACTTGTGTTATGGCATTAGTAACACGCCTGTTCAAATTAGCAAACAGAAGTTACCATTAATGAGTATTTCCAAATAATCTTGGCAACAATACATTTCTGCAACAACATGATGGAAATGTCCTCACTCCCAGAAGAAATAGTGACACAGTCAAACATTTTTATGAATAAACACACCAGAGAAAAAATATTTGTCTATTTACCACCTGCCTTTTATCTCATCACAGGTCGACTTGACAAAATGCAAGAATGTCACAGTGTTTTTGGCTCCTAGCGTGGTGAGTAATCTACTAATATTCTATTATATTTTAGTAATAGTAATAAGCTCAAGTGAGCTCAGTGAAAAGCCAGGTGAGACGAGGCGTGGTTGGTCTACAGAAACTCTTGTCTCTGTTTCAGCCAGGTGGTTACAACTTGTTAAAAGGAACCTGAACGCCATTACCTTACTACATTTTTTCTAGATTTTAGATACAAAGATTCTGTGAAGAATCTGTCAGTACATGGTTGAAGTGCAGGCTCATTTGGATGTGTTATTATGGGTCACTTCCTATTAAAAGTGTTTTTGTGTTCCTAGCTTTTATTATTGCAGCAGAAGTTGCAGGCTGAGCTGCCTGATGATGCCTTGGTGGTAGCTGGTCGTTTTCCCTTCCCTGACTGGACACCCTGCAGGATTGAGGGACATGGTGTGGACAGAGCCTGGGCATATAGCATGCAAGCACAAAGACAGCACATCTTCAAGAGAAATGATAAGCTCACAGTCACTGATAGCAACAATGAAGTAACCAAGGAGAAAGAATCCATTTGAAGCTACATGGATGTCTTTTCCCCTCTAGAATGGTGACATGGCACTATACTGTATATGACTGACTTACTCCTGATCCTTCAATGGAATATTGAGAATGTTTAACATAACTTGACTGGATACTTTTTTGACAACATCTACAACTGGATGTAGTCTGACAAACTACTCCACTGTCACTGAAATGACAGGGATCAGAAAACATGTAGGTTTTTGCACAAATGCTCTTTTCTGCTGTTGTGATGGAGGGGATCCTTCATAATGCTTTCTGTAACCACACCTTTACCTCCAGAATACTGTAAATGTTTTTGGGATTACCTACCTTTTTAAATGTTGTATTTAAATGCCAAACCACTGAAGAGTATTTTCTCTTCTATTGATTGTTATTTGTTAGTACTTGTTGTCCTTGAGCAAGGCACCTAACCCCTAACTGATCCCGGAGTGCCTCTACATGGCAGCCCATCACTCCACCTGTATGTGCATTAATGTATTTTGTGTGTGTACGCAAAACATTAGGGGAGAAAATAATTTCCTCATTAGGGATAAATAAAGTATATCCTCTTCCTCTTCCTCCTCTATTTGTTATGCAGGCCTACATATAATTAGACAACTTCAGAGGAAACTTTGGAAGGAGGAACTTAAAGTTTAAAAGCTTTGTGGGTTTGGTCAAAGGCACTTAGTGTTGTGGTAATGTCTTTGTGTCAGCAGCTGTGGATTGTGGCTCTTCAGGCTCGGGATGTCAAAGGGGACTCTTTTTTTTTTCCAATCTCACTGCCAGATTGTTACACTTGTATAAGTCCCCTTCATGTTCCACAGCAGTATGACATAGTTACCTCTGTACACATTTTTTTGGTGTGTGTAAATAATTATCCAGTAGGTTTGTTATTGGCTTTGCCAAAAAATCTCTTTATTCTCTTGAATTGTATGTTTTTACTTTGCTGCTATAGTTTCTGCAATAAAAGTAATTGCTCTAATCTCTATATGGACTATAAATTGCCCTTTCTTGAGCATCATGTGCTGGAATAATGTGTGTTTATTATCTGGGGAAAACACCCCTATGGCTGACATTAGTCAGTGGGTCACGTTGATAGTGGCCTAAGCAAAACAAACAATATGGTTTACAGTGACTAAAACATGTACTTTTGTAAGCAGTCACAGATATTGTTATTGATAATGCTGCATTTACACGATCCAGGATAGCTTTAAACATAAACTGAATGATCTCTGTATACGACTACCAGTAATAAACTGGATGTTTTATATGAGAAAAGGAGAAGTTAAAGAGAGGAGAGAAATCTAAATATCCCCATAAAGCCAGACTTCTTCAAATTGTGCAATGTTGCTTGGAAGGTCCTGCAGATAATAAATCAGTAATGAGGTGAAGTACTGCAGATGCATGGGTCCAAGGAGAGAGAACCAGCCACTATATTTATCTCTTTAGGAGGCAGTGCATACTTCCACCCTGTCTCATGACATCCATACTGTTTATTCTTTTGTCTTGTTATTCCATTGTAAGTCAGACATTTCTGTATGTCCCTTTATGGGCCTGATCTAACCTAGTAGAAAGACAATAAATGAGCATTGTGCATATCAGTACTATATAAAATGAAGTCCACACACTTTCTTTAATTTATAACTCATTGCTGACATTGATATTCAGTGTTACTCAAGAACACTGTGTTTAGTATTTAGCCATATATACCATAAACCATATATATATGTATAATGCTACTAATTGTGCCGTAGTTTGAAAGATATAACCGGAGACTGTACTTTTATTATTGTGACTGACTTGACACCAGCAGCCTGGGTTGGTTGATGCTGCAGCGAAAGAGGAAGTTGCGAAGCGGCGAACCCTGTAACTAGCAAGCTAGCTCTATTCTTGAGCCGCCCTAAGCATTGAAAAGGGGAATAAGAGGAACAAGCGCGCATAGTATTATATGTTTAGTGTTATTACAAATGTGTCAGATATATAAGTTAGGTGTGCACATCCACCCGCTTTCAAAGTACAACCGGTAAATGCACGTTGTCGGGACCAGCAGTCCTAGAAGCATGTCAACGTTTGACAGCTAACAGCTAACAGCTAACAGCTATCTGCATCCTTCTAGAAAGGCTAGCGAGTTAGCCATCCGCTGCAGCGTTAGCCACTGGGTAACCTAGCTCCGGAACGCCTGACATAGAAAGCTAACGTTAATTAACGGTTCACGGTTGTCCGGTGCTGGAGCCAGTGTTAGATGTGCCATTTAAAAAACAACAACAACAACAACAACAACAACAAGAACAAGGATTTCTGTATTTAACATAACGGTAAAGGGAGTTAAACGACAATGCCGCTGAACTACCAACTCGAGATAGCTGGTTCAGTGTTAAGCCTGTGTGCTTGGTAGTCGAAAACGAGTTTTATTAGTGCAAGGTAAAAGTAAGTCAGTGTTTAACGTCGTTACTGTAATCTAAGTGAACGACGCCAACCCTGGCTATCTAACGTTATCTGTGTGTGAGTGAGTATCGACCATGATGAGCACCATCTGCGGTTACGTTAGCCAGCAACACCTCAGCTAACCTTAGCTGGAGAACTGGCTCGCTGGGTAGCTCATGTTGGCTTATTACTGTAATTAATCCGAGACTAAGTAAAGTGAAGAAAGCAGCAGAGCCACCTCAACATGGTAAGTGTAATTTAATGTGCATTATTTGTGTAGTTATTCGTGTAGTCTTCTGGTCTTGTTTGCTAGTAGCTAACGTGGTGCATACGCTTTTTGATGCGAATGTTTAAACAGGAAGCCCTAAAGTTAAGTCAGTAACGACTGTGGATTTCTTCACATTTAGATAAAAGTGTGTTACTGTGTGCACTGCGGGCCTCTGTGCCTGTTAAGTCATATAACGGTTTGCAAGAGGCCGGGTATTTCACGGGATGTGACAGCTCGTTAAGCCATTTCACGGCACAAGACGCCCATCTTACAAAACCGAATATTTGCTG